ATTTGTTATGTAAGTATGTGAAACAAGTTAACAAATTAATTGCAACGTATATTTTTAGAATGAACTTTTATTTCAGATATTTTTGGGAATTTATTCTTTTTCTTCTTGCAAACTTATATTTTGTATTTAAAACTTATTCACAGGAAAGTATCCCGCAGTCTGAGATGGAAATTCTTTTAAGGCAACTTAAACAAAATAAGGAAAATAAATACCCACCTCACTTGCGAAGCTTCGCTTTAATGCTGCACTTTTATTCTAATTCAGCATTCAACTATGTGCGTAAAACATTTAATAACTGTTTACCACACCCTGCGTAAGTGGCTCTCCGCGGTTGATGGCTTCCCCGGCTACACTGCAGAATCATTACGTGCTCTTAAAATTAAAGTCAGCCAAGCCAAAGAAAAAGGATACGAATTAATAAGTTCTTGAATAATGGACGAAATGGCTATCAGGAAGCACGTAGAGTGGAATGGGAAAAAGTATCAAGGACTCGTTGACTATGGCACCAATATTCAAAGTGATGCACTACCAGGAGCAAAAGAGGCTTTAGTATTTTTACTGGTAGCTTTGAATTCTAATTGGAAATTGCCAATTAGTTATTTTTTAATTCATGGCATAGGTGCTTTAGAGAAGGCTAATTTAATCAAAGGTTGCTTGAAATTGACTCATGATTGTGGTGCTAAAGTTGTGTCTGTTACATTTGACGGTACTACAACAAATTTAGCTACAGCATCTAATTTAGGCGTAAAATTGGAACTACCAAATATGTCACCTTTTTTTCCACATCGTTTTACCAAAGAGCGAGTTCATACAATATTAGATGCTTGTCACATGATAAAATTGATAAGAAATACTCTTGGCGAATGGGGAGCGCTAAAAGATGAGAACGGAGATGTTATTAAATGGCGGAGAGTTGCGCTCGGATTTACCGTGGTTTATCTGATTTTCGCTGGTTGTCAGAGCAAAGGAATGGGACAGCGGAAGATAATGAAGCAATGAGCGAAGAAGAAATGGTCGAAGAAAACTGTGTGTCCGAAGCAGAAAGTGTATATCAACAGGTGAATCCGATGAGAGCAGCACCTCGATTTGTCATGTCATTTAGGGATGTGGAGGACGCGATTAGATCCTTTTCAGGAGACGATGCGTATTCGGTGGAGTCATGGCTGTCTGAGTTCGAAGAGATTGCAATGACTCTTGGCTGGAACAACCTTGAGAAACTGGTTTGTGCCCGGAGATCAATGAGAGGACTGGCGAATCAATTCGTTCAAAGTGAAAAAGGTCTTTCAACTTGGAGTAAATTCAAGACAACCCTACTGGAAGAGTTCTCGAAGAAAGTGAATAGTGCAGATATACACATGACATTATCTAGGCGGTTGATGAAGAAAGACGAAACTGTTGAACAGTACGTCTTAGTAATGAAGGAACTTGCAGCACAAGGAAGTAATGAAGAGTCTAATATAATAAAAAATAAACAGAAGGTCAGGATTGAAAATCCTAATTTAATTGTGGCGGTCCACATAGAGTGCGAGATTGTACCAAGACGATTTTGAAGTGCCACTCATGCAATAAGTTTGGCCACTTAAAACCAAACTGTCCGAAGAAAACGTATGGGAAAAGTGCGGATCAAGTTAAAAAGAACATAAATTTGTCTCAGGACGGAAGTGCAAGCGTTTTCGTAAAGCGGGCGAAAATTAACAGCCGCAAAGTACAATGTTTAGTCGATACAGGAAGTAATGTTACGTCGGTGAAAAGTTCGATTGCGCGAAAACTCAAACTCCCTATGCAAAATTCAAAAATGACATTGGCTGGATTGGGTTCGACAATAATCACTGAGCACGCAGAGGCAATTAGTATTCAGGTTGATGATGTTATTGCAATGGTGCGAGCTGTTGTGGTGGACGATCCCTCTATGGCATACGACCTGATCTTGGGTGAAGACTTTCTCAATCAACCCCACGTAGTTATGTTGAAAAATCGTAATAATCAATTCGTTCTTCGAACGTTACTGACTCTGAATCTCGTAAAAGATGTGTATAACATTGTGGGCTCATACGAAAATCAGTTAACTTTGGGTGAACTGGATTGTGACGAAAAGAACGCACTTTATGACTTACTAGGTACTTACCGAGATCAAATTGCATTCAACATGAAAGAATTGGGAAAAACTGATGTTGTTGAAATGCATATTCGATGCAGTGTAGAACAACCAGTTGTGTATCTACCTTACCGTCTGCCCGCGCCCGAAAAAGAAATCTTAGGAAATATTCTTCAAGAGCTCAAGGATAACGGCATCATCAGAGAATCGTCATCCCCCTATGCGTGTCCGGTGTTATTGGTCAAAAAAAAAGACCAATGACTACCGAATGTGCGTAGATTTTCGTCGTTTAAACGCCGTGACAATTAAAGACAAGTATCCCCTACCTCTGATAGAGGATCAGATTGATCGATTGGGAGGATATGTTTATTTCACTACTTTGGATTTTGCATCCGGGTACTATCAAGTACCGATAGCTGAAGACCCTATAGAAAAGACAGCCTTTGTCACTCCAGACGCGCATTACGAATTTGTACGTATGCCGTTTGGGTTGTCTAACGCTCCTGCAGGATTCCAACGTCTCATCGACAAGGTGTTAGGGAAGTTGAAGAATAAGGAAGCATTCGCTTATATGGACGACATCATTATACCGTCAGTCACAATAAAACAGGGTCTTGAGCGACTAAAATTGGTGTTAGACGTCCTACGACAAAACAATTTAACGCTTAAGCTGATCAAGTGTTCTTTTCTCAAACAAAAAATTGATTATTTGGGTCAAAAAATTTCCGCTGAGGGCGTGAAACCAGGTAGCCAAAAAGTCGAAGCGGTGAGGACAGACCATTAATGCAGGATGGCCGACTGTTAGAGTTCTTGTCGAATTGCTCTAATTGACGCCCACATTCATCTATCCCCTGGCGACGATCTGCGAAATATGATCCATGTGTCGAAGGCCAAGTTGGCGGATATGCGCGATATATGCATAATGAGTCAGTCTTATGTTTGGTCTTTTCGGGTGTATGACACTGTCTTAAGTTGTTCCTTATATTAAAGTGTTTAGTTACTGAACTGTTTTTATTTGACTATTTACGAAATCTAACAGAGGTATGGTTCATATTTTCGTTTAAAATGGGCATGTAAGCTAATAAGCTGTTCTGTGCTAATAATAAAAACTTATTACAGGTTATGTGGATACGCATGGGATATGCATTGGTCGCTGCACTTCACGAAAACCGCTGTTGCCATGCAAGGTTGCGACGTTGCGAGATTACGAGCAAATTTAGTTAATAAATTATATTTATAAAAATAATAAACCGGATGTATTTCTAATAACTAATAAAAATGGTTAACAAAGCATATAGAATTACTACTAAACCGAAAAACAATTTATTACCTTGTTAAATGTAATTGTGGAGGTAGATAATACTAATATGACAACACCGCATTTACTTCTATGCTTAGACATGGAAAACGAATTTCTATGCCGATTTTTGAACATAGAAACAGCACATTATTGTGCGATTTCGAAAAAAAAAACTACTATTTTATAGCAGCTTTTAACCTCTCTTTTTATATTTCTCCAAGAAACGCGTACATGTCAAATTTGAAATACCAGTTTAAGTTGGAGTAATAAATGTATTTTTATGGTTGCGTGTACACACTTCTACAATTAGCAGTACAAGATTTTGTTAATCTCTTAAATTATTTTTCTGCTTATGAAGACAATCTGGATATTTGCTTGAGGGTGTGCTTTAAATTTTAGGAATTAATATCGTGGAACGTCATGCATCGTTTCCATACAATTTTGAGCTTCTGTTTTATCTTCTAATCACTTGGAATTTCATTTCCAAAAACAAAAATTGTACTTGAAATGATAGATATGAAAGTCATTATTCCGAAACATGTAATAAGGTCAAATGTTACTATGCATGTATTATTTGATATAAAGTAGCTTTTGACATCAGATTCTTTAGATTTTTTTCATGGGTACTTTACAGTTAATAGCATAATCATGAAAATAATTACTTATACCCTTATATAATAATTAATTACATTTATAGCATATCCAAAAAACAAGCGAAAGTTGAAAAACCAGTGTAAAATTTTAATAATAATTATGAGCCCAAATGTTGCTATGAAAATTATTATTTGACTTAAAGTAACTTTTGGCATCACAGTCTTTAGATTTTTTTCATAGGTACTTCACAGAAAATGACAATGATAAATATGTTTTCTTAATTTCTTATATTATTTTTCTACTTATGAAGACGATTTGAATGTGTGCCTTAAATTTTACGAATCCATATCGTGAAATAATACACCACATGAATTTCAGGGGCTTGTTTTCACTAAATTTTGTGTTTCCAGTTTTAATGATAGATTAATTACGTGTTTTCAGATATACGAATCGCACGAGTCCGAAAGTTATCCAACATGCAATCATGAGGCCAAATGTTGCTATGGATGAAAACTATTATTTGATTTAAAATAACTTTTGGCATTAGTCTTTAAATTTTTATCCTAGGTGGTTCATACGTAACATCATTATGAATTTATCTTAGATTTATTTCTCAATCCGACGATATTTGAATCACGATTTGGTATTCTTATTAAAACGAAGGCTACAAATGTAATTATTTCTTGGACTGTGAGCCTGAAAGTTGTTTTGTATGAATCCATATGAGGCCAAAGTGTACTAAAGATGAAAATAATTACTTCATTTGTAGTAACTTTCAGTCCCCTGTATTTTATTCTGTAAGTAGCAAGTACTTTAAATTAATTTGAATTAAATTATCGCTTTAACTGCGACTAATAAATTTATTTTAGTGAATGCGTGTACAGATTTTTTTAATATCATAGAAAATTTTTCTAAATACAGAGAAAACCTGATTCTTTGCTTTGGAATGTATCCAAATTTTAGACATTCATAAAGTTATTACTCTGGTAAGTAAAAAGTAAAAAACAAATACTGACAATTATTCGATTTATTGAAGCAAGAGAATAACACTGAAATTAATGTTTGGTAGCTGCATGCTGTAAAAAACTTTTTATCTGAGGTACTGTTCTGCCTTGTAATTCTGGATTTAGTTCTAAGACTCTTCTACACTCTTCACTCGAAGGATAAGTTTTCTGGTTGATGTAATTTGAAAAAACATTTCTTACAATGGCTTTCTCCGGCGTAGTCCATCGCTTTCGTTGTTGGGGTCCCTCTAAAAAAATTTATGAGAATACATTACAACTATATTGTACCCTGAAAGGTGACTTACTTCGATAGTAAACGTTTTTAATTTGATTGTAGGCCCATGCTTTTAACTGTAGTGGCGTTCGATTCTTGAGACAGGGTTCTTGAAGTAGAATATTTCGACATTCTTCTTCTGAAGGAGCTGTGTGGTTTTTAATGAAATTACCTAATACACGTCTAGCTGTTTGACGTTCCGGGGTTGACCACATCCTTTTACGTTTGTAAGCTTCGCAATAAATAAATATTAATAATTTCGTGTTATCGCTTACCTATAGTTCATTCCAATGTACATATACCTACATGCTTTAATTCTATTTCTTCGTTGCTTATTTCCCTTTCTTATTTGTTCAGAATCATTTGAAATTTCGCTAGCAATCTTGTAACTACTACTGCTGTCTAGATCAGATTCCGGTTGGGAATTATTACTTTCATTTATAATATTTAAATTCGCATTTGTCACTAAAACATCCTATGAGGTTTGTCAAAAAAATATATAATTTACCTTTTGTGCTACTGACGTGTTTTAATGTCTGTGACATTTCCGATGAACAGGATTTTTCATGTGAAACCCCCGGTTGTTCTGTGGATGATGAACAAAATCAATGTTTATGAATTTTGTTAGTATAAAAAAAATACATACTGTTTTCATCAACAGCAATTTTTGTAGTCAAATTCTCATGCAACATTAAGTCTTGTGTTACAATTTCTTGACGATAATACTTTTTATGAGTCTGTTCTTGATCATCCATGAAGTCCATCACTGTTTTTTGTTTCGCATCTTCTAAATTCATAGCTGACACTTGCGTCGCTAAATGTTTTCGTAAGAGTGTAGTTCTAATAGTTTCTGGATGTTGAAGGTGTGCAAGTTTTGTGTATTTTCGCATCAACGTACAAGTTTCTAATATTTTGAATCTTTCTCCAGACATCATTCCGGGAATTCCAAACAAGTACGGATTATCATTTGAAACACCTGCATCTTCTCTATGGTCATGAACGTAATCTAAATACAACTTAACTTTGTTTGGTATCAGTGCAGTTACAACAGAATCCAGTTTGCCTCTGAGTGTTAATTTATAGATGTCATTTTTCAAACTTTTTTCTTCTGGGCTTAAGTTCTCGTAGGTCTCAGGCAAAGAAGTGTTACTTAGTTTTATCATGCTTAAAAAGTCGTCCACCAATACTTTGTGAGTCTCCCTACTTTGCTTTCTGTTGAAAACAGCTATGTATAACACTAACACTTCGGCCAAACTTTTCCAATTGTCAAAATTAAATCCGTTAAAAATTAGTGATTTATAAAATTTGTCTGCTTCCTCTATCAAATATTCTTTGAATTTAGTTACGTCTTCTGTTAATGGAATTTTTGTTTGACGTAAGTTTATTTGTTTTCGTTTATTTTCTAATTCTCGTTTCAGAGCAGGTTTGTTAATCCTTGTCGGGGCTTCAGTATTTAAAAGTTTTAAAAATTCTTTTACACGCTTTTGAAATTCAACTTTATCTTCTTTTATGTATCGACAGTGTAGTACATTGCAACAAACTTTCAGCATATGCACTAACTGTAGCGCTGATTTTGGACTTCTATATACTCCATCGGAAGATGCTAATAATTTTAGAATGGCGTCAATGGCAATATCAAAATATGTTGGTCTGAATAATGTAGAGAAGTACAGTATTTTGGGACATAACGATTTAACTGTTGTGAAATATTTTGTAATAAATCTTAAATGATTTCTAACCCTGTATTCTTGATGCCCTGTATATTTTGATGACAAATAATTGCCGTATAAAATTATTAATTTGTCTTTAATTAACGTATTAAAAATAGTATCTCTTCTCATTGGTGGAAGTATCTTTTTCTTAAGAACGTGATTCGTGAGATGGTGCACCTTAGTAATAGTCATTCTCGAATTTCTTTTTATAGATCTAGTTCCTTGATTTTTCCGTACACTACATTTTCGATGATGTCTTGCCAACGCTTGGTGTGAAAAAAAACCAAAGCAGGTGGAGCATGGCAAATAGTACTCACTTGGATTTTGTACTGGCTGTAATGCGTGTCTTTTCCTAATTAAAATAGGTTGTTCAGTATTTTCAATATTATACTCAAAATTGCCTTTCTTCCGTAAGGCTGAAATCAATCCTAGTCTTGTTGAGGATTGTTTTGGCAGTTGTAGAAATTGTTGTACTTCCTCTCTATCTTCATGAACTAATTCAAAATGTCGGGCAATATTCGTTTTCAAGGTTTTACAAAAAATACAAAAATTCCTTTTTTTGGGATACTTGTTACATGTTTTCTTACCTTAAAAGAACATGTACAGGGTCAATTATCAATAAAATTATTGAAAATAGAAAAAAAGGTCAAGGACTAAAGTTGAGCGGTTCTTTTACATTAAAATTATGTTCAACCATATAGAATATGCGGTTTTGAGACATAACACACAACTTAGTTTATAACCTTGGACGAATTTTTTTCTATTGTGAATGAAATGGCGTACCGCGTGCTTGGTGACTCACCTGTATATACATACACTCGACTTTATTTTTTGTTTAGTGTCAGTATAAAAAAACTTACCGTCAGTTTCATATTTCTCTATAACTTCGTATTTTATCGTTATTTCATCATCATCGTGTTCATAATCTTGTTTAATTTCAGCACTGTTATTAGTTTCACTTCCAACTTCAGAATTTTCGTTAACAACATTTGGGTTGTTTATTATATCGGTGATATTATCTCGTATGTGGTTTTCCACCACAATTTCGTATTCATCCTCTCCAACTTTATCCAAAGAAACGTCATCGATATGAACATCATTACTGTCAAGTGAGTTTTCAAAATTTTGTGTTTCTAAAAGTAGAAATATGAGATATATACATTACATAAGTTTATGTTTATACATAGACTACTCAAACAACCTTGATTTTGGTAAATAACTTTCATTATGCTACTTATTTTAAAATTTTGTTTGTTTCATTTTTATATTATTGCACTTGTTCCTATTATAAGAACTGTAAAAAATGACCTAATGAATGCTTCTAGCAATCAACCTAGCAACCAAACTACGGCTCCACCGTCACTGTCAAGTTTCTTAAAAGATTTTAGTGTAATAGAGCAGTCGGATGTATTTCGATTTAGTATTTTATCAAAAAAACTGCCACGACTCTGTTAATGTCCGTTGTGTGTTTTTCGTAGATGTAAACAAGTAAAAATAAAAAAAATAACGTGGGTTGAGCTGCCTGTGGGTTGAGCTACCTAGGAGGCGCGTCCCCAGGGTTGCGGATAGGAGGAGACCGGCATTGTCTGGGGAAGGGAGGTCTGGGGAGCCTGGTACGACGCCTCAATGATCTTGGCTACCACACAATTGGATACGCAGACAATCTAGTCATTCTGCTAACAGGAAAAAACGCAGATACATTATGTGAAATAATGCAACCTGTTTACTAAGAAAAGGAAAATTGGCACACTACAGATGCCAAAAATATTTAACACAACGCTTCAACTTTCGGACGAAGTCAAATACCTGGGAGTTGTATTGGACTGGCGACTGAATTGGAAGAAGCATGTAGATGATAAAGTGGAAAAAGCACGCTCGGCTCTGTAGCAATGTCGTAGGGTGATGGGAAGGTCGTGAAGTTTAAACCCCAAGATCGCCCTCTGGATCCACACGGCAATAGTCAGACCGATGCTGTGCTATGGAGCTTTAGTTTGGTGACCCAGAGCCAGACAAAAAACACAGCCCTGCAACTTGAACACGTTCAGAGAATGGCGTGTCTCAGTGTTACAGAAGCAATGGGAACCACTCCCACAGCGACTCTGGAGACTCTTCTTTGCTTAGCACCTCTTAACCTTTACATAGAGGAAGCGGCAATGAGGACGGCTCTAAGACTTCACTCTCTGGGAGTATGGATCAAACAAGGCCGCATAACGAAGCACACTCGTATTTTAACGGAGGCGTTCAACAGAATACTCTTGTTAAGGATGGGTTGTGACCGAATGGGCACAAAATTAATATATAAAAAGACATATAGAATATCAATGAATAATAATTCAGAAGGAAGAGCCGACATCGATATCTATGTCGATGGTGCCAAAACAGGTAGTGGTTCAGGAGCCGGCATTTACTCCGAATAACTGAACGCACAAATCAGTGTACCTCTCGGCACCCACACGTCTGTCTTACAAACAGAACTGATGGGAATAATGCTGGGAGCTAGAATCGTTGCTGAACGTGAAATCAGCAACAAATCAATACGCATACTTACCGACAGTAAGTCTGCACTACTTACCCTGGACAGCTGTATGGTTCGATCCGGGCTAGTTTGGGAGTGCAGACAAACGCTTGGGTATGTAACGCAGAGGAATAGTGTAGAACTTTGTTGGATCAAAGGAACGAGCCGCGCGCATGCCCTTCTGGGGACCCGAACCGGCAATCACGCCTTCGGTCACCCTCTCGAACGAACTCGTAAAGCAATATACCCATGGACGCCATGAGCAAATATGGGCGACCTTAAGCAGCTGTCAGCAAAGTAGAGCTTGTATGGCGACACGAGACCGTAAGTTGACGAAATTTTATCTCTCACTTTCAAGGGACAAATTGCGTAAACCGGTAGGATGCCTTAAGGACATTACCAGTTTAACAAACATCTACATACGATAGGGGTGGTAACAGACCCAATCTGTCGTAGATGCAATGAAGAAGAGGGAACAGCTGAGCACATTCTTCGTGAATGTCCAGCCCTAGCCTCCTACAGGGAATCCATACTTGGGGACATCTGGCCTAGTATGGCAAAAATCAGGGAGTTTCCACCCTCTGCATTACTCAAGTAGATTCAAGTAGTTGGGTAGCTTGACGAGTAGAGGAGCGGGAAAACACCCTGAGATGAACTTGGGGAAGGTAAAATGGGCCCAAAGGCGAGAACTAAGTGCCGGCTGGCTACGGTCAGCCCCCATAAATTAAGAATCCAGAATCCAGAATCCATGTACAGGATCAGTTATCAAGCGCGCGTTCCGCGTTGTCAATAAAATTATTGAAAATAGAAAAAAAGGTCAAGGACTAAAGTTGAGCAGTTCTTTAAGTATAATACATTAAAATTATTTTCAACCATACAGAATATGCTGTTTTGAGACATAACACACAACTTAGTTTATAACCTTCGACGAATTTTTTTCTAGTATGAATGAAATGGTGTACCGCGCGCTTGGTGACTCACCTGTATATTACATATGTATATACTCGACTTTATTTTTTGTTTAGTGTCAGTATAAAAAAACTTACCGTCAGTTTCATATTTCTCTATAACTTCGTATTTTATCGTTATTTCATCATCATCGTGTTCATAATCTTGTTTAATTTCAGCACTGTTATTAGTTTCACTTCCACATCCAGAATTTTCGTTAACAACATTTACGTTGTTTATTATATCGGTGATATTATCTCGTATGTGGTTTTCAACCACAATTTCGTATTCATCCTCTCCAAATTTATCCAAAGAAACGTCATCGATATGCACATCATTACTGTCATTGGCAATAAGTGAGTTTTCAAAATTTTGTGTTTCTGAAAGTAGAAATATGAGATATATACATTAAATAAATTTATGTTTATGCATAGACTACTCAAAAAACCTTGATTTTGCTAAATAACTTTCATTATGCTACTAAAATTTTGTTTGTTTCATTTTTATATTATTGCACTTGTTCCTATTTTAAGAACTGTAAAAAATGACCTAATGAATGCTTCTAGCAATCAAACCCCGGCTCCACCGTCACTGTCAAGTTTCTTAAAACATTTTAGTGTAATAGAGCAGTCGGATGTATTTTGATTTAGTATTTTATCAAAAAAACTGCCACTACTCTGTTAATGTATGTTGTGTGTTTTTTCGTAGATGTAAACAAGTAAAAATAATAAAAAAATAATTATTACATAAGTAAAATGAAGACATTTTATCTCTTTTCATTCAATGTTATATTTTTTCAAAACGATTTTACGTTAAGATTTGCAAATGTATTATCTCTGTAAAAAACACAGACTGAAAAACAACCAAACCGACTATTGGACCCTTACATATCCAATACTCTATTGTGACTAAAATATGGAAAGCAAAATTTTTACACAATAGTTTATTTTTCAAACTTTTTCAGTAAGTTTGCGTTACGCAGCAAAATTGGTTTGGAAGTTTGAAATTATATACATACTTTTGTGTTGTGCCATGACAACGTCGATTTTATCCAGCTGCACGTTGCAGTCTTTAAACCGTTGTCGGCGGACCGGAAATGATGATGCAGCCAAAACATCAAATGAGCTACTGCTTCCGGCATCGCTGCAATGAGTTTCTGAAATCACACTGGCACTTGCACTTTTCACCTTTTTCTTTGTTTTTCTTTCTGAAAACAACAATAAAAAAAAAATGATAACATCTGCAACTGCATCGCTGATGGAAAAAACAATTTGAAATTGAAAATGCAGTTGCATAGTTCGTCAATAAACAAAGTTGTAACTTAAAAAGATCTATTACTTATCTACTGTAAAGAGGCTGCGTTAATTTAGCGAAAAATAATTATATATCTATTTTTGACACTGGTGAAATTATTTATTGGTTATGCTTTTCTAAAATCTTCTTTATCCTTCGGTTAGCTGTGGTGTTATAACGTTTTTTCCCCAACACCGAAAAGCGGAAAAAATATTTTTGCTGGCAATTTTCTCCGATCACGTCAGCATTATCTATTAGACAAAGCTAAACTGATTTCAAGTTTCTAGTACTGTAACAAAACAATATTTTCAAACCGATGGATTTTAACTGCTGCTTTGAGTCATGTTTAAATTGAAATAAAGTGCCAAACTTACACAAAAAAATGAAATATAGCCCAGAATATTACGTTATAACCTTATACTGCCTTTGCCATTTCTATTGAAACACCACTTGTTGATTTTGCTTAAAATTTAGCGATTGGTAACAGCTTTCGGTTGATTGACAACGGCTTTTAGTTAGAAAATTACCTGAACATGATCGTTGCCAAATTTACAATTAACAAGTGGTGTTTCAATAGAAATGGCAAAGACTTTAACATATATTATTAAATGTTGTATTACTTACTTGCGTTCCTCATTTTACTTTCACAAACACGATCACATATTTGGTGGTGAGGGTGTGTTAACACACAGCCTTATGCAGCGCCGACTACTGAGACTGACACAGCGAGACTCAACCGCTCAATCCCGATTCCACTGTATTTGTGACTTTGAGAACATGAAGAGTAAAGATACATCTCACAGATAGAGATCCGACGCAGGCGACTGTGATCCTTAATTCAAGAAACGGAAAGGGCTAATATTCGATTCGGTTGACAGTGCACCCACCAAAATGATGACGGTTGAAATGGTTGAATGGTTTAAAAATTTAACAAGATACCATCGTGACCATGTTCAACTGAAATCAAATAATCGTGCAATTTCAAATAATAAAACATGCGTATCCTTACAAATATGTTTTAATAATTAATTTTTTTTTCAGCCGTTTCGACCACGACCACGTATTATTTTTTAAGATTATAGTGAAAGCACCCCTACCCAACCCCAACACATACTCTCGTTTCATTTAGGATATACCTCATCAAATTATACAGACTCCATGTTACAAGCTGCTAATCCTGGATTAACAACCAGGTAGATTAAAGCGACACTGTCATCAGAAGTTCAATATAATCATAAAATTTTATGAGGTATATTCTAAACGAAACAAGTATACAAACACAAATAGGCTAAACGAAATTCGAACTGGTGGCTCAAGCGCGAATCCTCACGTCTGTACTGGGGTCTTCGAATCGAATGAGTGCTAAATGCCTAAAATAACTTTTAGCATCACATTCTTTGCATTTTTTCACTTAACAAATATCAACATAATTATGAATTTCTATCTGAAATTTATTTTTATTTGTCTCCAAAAGACAGGTTTTACAAAATATAAATGATCACTTTAACTTAAACTAACAGATGAATTTAGTTTTGTAGTTGCGTGTATAGATACTTCTACAATTAACAGTACAATTTTTTCTTAATCTTGTAAATTATTTTTTTTATTTTATGAATGTAAAGTTCGAAGATGCGAATATGAGGCCAAATGTTACTACATGGATGAAAGCTATTATGTGGTTTAAAGTAACTTTTCGCATCACATGCTTTAGATTTTTTTCACAGTTACTTCACAGTTAATAACATAATAATGACTTTGTCTTTTAGGTTTATTTCTCTCATCTGCCCACATTTGTATAACAATTTGATGTTATTAATTTGATAATCTTAAAATAACGGCTATTAATATGCAAACAAACATATGAAAATAATTAGCTCATTTATAACAACTTTTAACCTGTCGTATTTTATATTTGTCTAAGTGGCAAATACTTAAAAAATTTACATTATCACTTTAACTTTGAATAAAAAAATATTTTTATGAATGCGTCTACAGATACTTCTACTATTCACAGTTTAATTTTGTCTTAACCTCATACAAAAAGTGTCGTCTTATGGAAAAAATCTGAATCTTTACACTTGGGGGTGTGCCTGAATCTATAGCGCCAAATATTGCTCCACATGCATTTTACTGCCTCGATTTGACCGAATTTTGAGTTTTCGATTTTAGGTTTATCCATGAAGTACTTACTTTCAGATATGTGAAGCGCATGAGTCCGAAAGTTATTCATCATGTAATTATGAGGCCAAAAGTTTCTATGGATGAAAGCTATTCTTTTATTTAAAGTTACTTTTGGTATCATATTGTTTAGATTTTTTCATAGGTACCTCACAGTTAATAATATAATTATGGATTTCTGTCTTATATTTTTTTCTCTATTTGCCAATATCTTTTCTCAAACCAAAATTGTTAAAATTACTGTTAAAAGATGTCACTAGATGCGTGTGAGTCTGAATATTACGTTGAATGTGTGTCATTTCGGCCTCATAAGTCACGGCGAGGCCGAAACTTCCAATTTGAGCCCAAAAGTATATGTATATATATATATATCATTGTTGCACTGGTTTATCACTATGTGTTTCTCATACCTACAGTGATTTTTAGTTACCATAAATTAGTTAATGAATTTTAGAAGAATAAGCTTCCCCTCCTTTCATTTCATCAACTGTAAACCCTGATTAGAATTTCATTATTTCGCTCCTGCAATTCCCAATTCCACACTTTTCCTATCATTACCTTATCCTGCAGATTTCGCCCCGTACTGGAAGACAAAAAAAACAGATTGGACATCTCTGAAAGCGAAAAGGAAGGCATGGGATCAAGCAGTCGAAGAGTTCAACACCATGTCGTCATCTGGACCCAGAACCACCCAGCAGGTCAAATTTTTAGGGTCAAACATGAAAAGAGTGGGCAAGAAGACAGTTGATGCCGTGAATGTATGTATGAGTATGTATGAATGAAAGCTGGCATTACGTTCACACTTTAATGATATGTTCAGAAAAGGAGATAATTAGATGAAGAATGCGACGAGGAAGTAGATGTGCAACAATTAATGAAAAAAAGAAGAGAGGAGAAGGTGTATTTCACAAAATTGTTTTAAATATAAATTTGTTTTTATTATTTTAGAAGCACATAACAAAAACAGATGGAGGAAAATATCAGCCATCCGAGTTTTTGATAAAAACGGTAAAGAGCATCAGTTAAGGGCAGTGCTTGATAGCGCATCAACTTCGCACTTTATTAGCGAAAACGCAGCGCGAAAGTTAGGTCTACAAACAAACAACATTACGTTACCTGTGGTCAGAATTGGAAAAAATTCGACAAATATTAGGAAATCTACTTCTCTTAAAATACATTCATATTATTATAACTGATTCAGTGACACTTTATCGTGTCTAATAATTTCACGAATAACATCAGACTTGCCTGCCATTACATTCGATAAAACTGCTCTCAGTGTTCCAAAAAATATTAAATTAGGGGATCCTCAGTTCAATGTTTCATGTGAAATTGATATATTAATCGGTGCATCTCTATTCTGGAAATTATTATCCATAGGGCAAATCCAAAATTCTGACAATGGGCCAGTTTTTCAGAAAACTTACTTGGGGTGGGTAATCTCGGGAAATATTCCAGTAATCCAACCACCCACAACCGTTTTCAATTTCTCAGTCGCTGCTTTTGACGAATTTGATAACAGGGAGAATAAATGTTTATTGCAGGAGCATGTTGAATGTGAACGGTTATTTAAACAATCAGTAACTAGAAATTCAAGTGATTTGTTTGTCGTAAAATTAACATTTAAAAGTGATCCACCTTCAGTGGGTTTCACAAAACACGCTGCAATAAGCCGTTTAAAAAGTATAGAGCGCAAATTCTTCAGAGATCCCCAACTTAAATCCGATTACACTGCATTTATGCGGGAATATTTAGAAATGGGTCACATGCAAAAATTAGAGGAAGATGATGATGGAACACAGGTTTGTTGTTACCACACCATCATGTTGTGAAGCCAGACTCTGACACCTCGAAAATACGAATTATATTTGACGCATCAGTCAAATCCTCAAACGGGAAATCGCTAAATGACAACTTATATGTGGGAGAATCATTACAGCAAATGTTATTTTCAATTTTAGTTAGGTTTAGAGTTCATCAATTTATCTTGAGTGCAGATTGCGCTAAAATCTGGAACACTGCAAAAGATTTCAAGAGATTTCATTCAACAGAAAAAAATTAAACCTATCAGCTTAATACTCTTACTTACGCGTTTGCATCTTCACCATTTTTAGCTACACGATGTTTGCAAGAATTAGCTAAAACGGAAGCCGTTAATTTTCCAGATTCGTATAAAATCATTTTAAGAGACTTTTATGTTGACGATTTATTAACTGGTTGTGACTCTATGGAGAGTGCATACAAAATTCGCGACGAAGTAACTGAAATTCTCAGAAAAGGTGAATGATGAAGATGAAGCAGATGATGATATAGTTGGATTAGCTGAGATCAACGATACCCTTGGTGAAATGGAATTACAATATACAACTATTACAAACAACACACTCAATGAAGTAATTCCAGATGAACCCTCAACTTCACGTGGTCCTAATAGAAGTAATGTTACTAAAAAGAGAAAACTGTCAGATATTGGTAGTACATGGCAAAAAACTCAACCAACTCAGTTATTATTTTTTGATTCGATACCAATGGTGAAATATTGTGCCTAAAGTGGATTGACAATAAATGTGTAAATGAGACAACAAACCACGACACAATTGAACCATTATCTCAAGCTTCAAGTTGGGATAGAAAAACCAAACAAAAAAAGCAGATTCCACAACCACTTGTAGTGAAAAATTACAACACAACATGGGTGTGGTAGACCAACATGACTGGGATGTGGAAAAATATCCCATCAAGATTAGAGGCAAAAAGTGGTATTGGCCACTGTTTATTCGGATGGTCGACATGGCACTTGTTAATGCTTGGATTGTATACCGAACTGTAAACAAATCTGACATGCCATTGTTGACAATTCGAAGAGCTGTAACAGTTATTTACCTAAAGTTGGGTGCCAGAACTGCCATTGGACGACCAATTACATCAAAGACCAAGACGTTTGACGATGTGAGGTATGATAAGTATGGTCACTTTATGGAAACTCGTACGAAGATATCAACAGCAACAATGCGAAGCAAAACCATTGACCTATTATACAAAATGTAATGTGACCCTAACTGAAATTCTCAGAAAAGGTGAATGATGAAGATGAAGCAGATGATGATATAGTTGGATTAGCTGAGATCAACGATACCCTTGGTGAAATGGAATTACAATATACAACTATTACAAACAACACACTCAATGAAGTAATTCCAGATGAACCCTCAACTTCACGTGGTCCTAATAGAAGTAATGTTACTAAAAAGAGAAAACTGTTTTACATAGAGGAAGCGGCAATGACGACGTCTCTAAGACTTCACTCTCTGGGAGTATGGAACAAGCAAGGCCGCACAACGAAGCACACTCGGATCTTAACGGAGGCGTTCAACAGAATACCCTTGTTGAGGATGGGTTGTGACCGAATGGGCACAAAATTAATATATGAGAAGACATATAGAATATCAATGAGTGATAATTCAGAAGGACGAGCCGACATAGATATCTATGTCGATGGTGCCAAAACAGATAGTGGTTCAGGAGCCGGCATCTACTCCGAACAACTGAACGCACAAATCAGTGTACCTCTCGGCACCCACACGTCTGTCTTACAAACAGAATTGATGGGAATAATGCTGGGAGCTAGAATCATTGCTGAACGTGAAATCGGCAACAAATCAATACGCATACTTACTGACAGCAAGTCTGCACTACTAGCCCTGGACAGCTGTATGGTTCGATCCGGGCTGGTTTGGGAGTGCAGACAAACGCTAAAGTATGTAACGCAGAGGAATAGAGTGGTACTTTGTTGGATCAAAGGACACAGTGGCAACGAAGGAAACGAGAGGGCAGATGAGATGGCGAAGCGAGCCGCGCGTATGCCCTTCTGGGGACCCGAACCGGCAATCACGCCTTCGGTCGCCCTCTCGAACGAACTCGTAAAGCAATATACCCATAGACGCCATGAGCAGATATGGGCGACGTTGAGCAGCTGTCGGCATAGTAGAGCTTGTATGGCGACACCAGACCGTAAGTTGACAAAATTTTATCTCTCACTTTCAAGGGACAAACTGCGTAAACTGGTAGGATTCCTTACGGGACATTACCAGTTTAACAAACATCTACATACGATAGGGGTAGCAACAGACCCAATCTGTCGTGGATGCAATGAAGAAGAGGAAACAGCTGAGCACATTCTTCGTGAGTGTCCAGCCCTAGCCTCCTACAGGGAATCCATACTAGGGGACATCTGGCCTAGTATGGCAAATA